ACGGGGGGGGGGGGGGGGGGGGGGGGGTGGAGATTGAGAGACATTTGTACTATGTGATCCATAAAGTTCCTTCCAGCTCTAAATCCTATGATCCTAATACCTTACCTATTTAGAATACAAATAAGAACCATGATAGGAAAAAGAGGCTTCTGCACAGCTAAAATAAACGTTACAAAGTTCATGTTCTATAACTTACTCTACATAAGAGAACCCTTCACTACAGGCAGAATCTATTTCCTCTTATTTACACACTAAGAGCTAACAGAGAAGTCCGCTGATAGCAAGACATGATAACTGACAGCAAAACAAGGGACAAGAAAAACTGAAAGGCAGGACAAACTGGGGAATAAAAAAGCAATCTTGGGCCATTCATTCCTATGCAATTCAAAAGTACTCGTACGTGTCACAGTATTCAACTGCCCCAACCCATCTATTAACCTTCAATCTCACACCTCCAACTGTCTTTCAGATATCTCTAATTAGATGTTCAACACACATCTTAAACTCAACACGTCCAAAGCAAACAAAACTCATTATCTTTCCTCCAAAGTCCTCACCCTACCCCCCAATTTCCCTATTACTAAAGAGGGCAACACCATCCTCCTAGTCCTTAGGCTCATTACCGAAGAGTCAAGCTGTATTCTTCACTACCTTGCACTCCGGTATCTGAGCTGTTACTGAGGCCTGTCAATTTCACCTTTGCAATATCTCCCGAATAAACCCCCATCTCTGCTCTGACACCAACACCACTCCAGTCCAAGTTCTTATTACCTCATGCCTAGACTACTATAGTAGTCTGCTGATCAGCAAGTCTCTCCCTACTCCAATTCACCCCTCCATTCAGCCACCAAAGTGATTTCCTAAAGTACAATTCTGACCACGTCATCCGCACCCTTCAATGAACTCCAGTGACTTCATTTTCTCTCCAGGAGCAAATACAAAATGCTGTTTGGCATTCAAAGCCCTTTATAACCTAACCCCGTCTTACCTTTCCAGTTTTCTTAGTCCTCACTCCCCATCACTCTGATCCAGTGACACTGGCCTCTTTGCTATTCCACAAACAAGACACTATATCTCTCTGCTCCAGGCATTTTCACTGATTGTCCTCCCCCCCCTTCCTAAACATCTCCTGACTTCTTCGGCTTCCTTTAAGTCCCAACTAAAATCCCACCCACTAAAGGAAACCTTTCCCAACTCCTCTTAATTCTAGTTATTTCCTATTTATCCTGTATACATTTGTTTACATGTTATTTCCCCCATTAGATGATAAGCCCCCCCCCCCCCCCCGAGGGCAGGGGCTGTCTTTTTCCTCTTTCTGTATCTCCAAAGCTTAGTACAATGCCTGGCACATACTAAGCACTTAATAAATGTTTATTGGTTGATTGATATTATGTAACAATATGAATGTTAACTAACATTCATAACTATACTCCACCTCCATCCCAGCACCAAGAAAATGCTTGCTTTAAGTATACCCTAAGAAGGCAGGAATACATGTATTTATACATGTTTATATTTATATTTATACAGTTTATACCAGCAAAGTATCTTACTCATTTTTTAGAAACTGGATCTATGCTTTCAATAGTGTAGGGAGCTCCAGATGAAGAACTTCCTCCACCAATACAGACTGGTATCTGTTTTGCAATTTATTGTCTTAAAAAGTTTCCTGGCATAATGAGAGGTCAATTGACTTGCCCAAGATGACACAGCCAGAGACAAGACTTGAACCCATGTCTTCTTGAGTCTAAGACCAGCTCTCTATCCCTTATACTAAACTGTCTCTCTTATATGGCTCACACATAGTAGGTATTTGACAAACATTGTATTAAAAAGACTTTTCAAAACTTTTTAATGCCTGGATCCTTAAAGGGGTAAAGCCCTCAGGCATATATAGAAAAATTGGCTATCCGTAACTCCCTGAAGTTCAGGATAGCCAGGATTTTACTATTACTATAGTTTATTGCACTATACAATTCAGTGAAAGAACAGATAGGACAGAATCTTTAAAACTAAAGATTTTAAATTCACAGAAGACCATTTTGCAAATGATGAATGCCTTATCTTATTCCATTCCAATTCAACTTAACTTTGAACAAAATGAGAAGCTTGCAAAAAGAGACTCGTGTCTAAAAATGCATACTGTTCTATAAAATTTACAAAGGCATTCTTTGTTACTTTGCCCAAAATTGTTCAGGTTTTATAGTAAACATTAGTAGATCTAGTCTGGATATTACCAACAATATCTAGATACCTAGAATACAATCAAGTCATCTGGAAATAGCTAGATTGGCAAGATTATTGTCTGTTATTTATCAACCAAAGGGGTCTCACTTCAGTGATCAGAGAGAATCAATCACTACTGAAAAATGGATTACTATATTATATCTTGAAAATAAGCTTGAAAACTTAGGATTGTTTGAAAGAAGAAAACTCTTTAAAAGTAGTAATGACCTAAGTCCAGAAACGTTAGAATCCAAAAACAAAAGAGCAGTATTCCAAATAACTCACAATTACAACAATAATTTAAGGAGACTTTAAATAGAATTGAAATCACATGATTTGTATATAAAATCAATTTTTTTTAAAAAGATAAAAGGCTTTCTGGTTCCAACTCTGTAGTTTTGGACAAGGAAATTAACCTCTCAGCCACAACTTCCTTCATCCTCTAAAAAAATTGGTGGATGGGGTACTGGTAGATGAGTAAGTCAGATGATCTCTGAGATCCCAGCCAGTTCTTAGACTGGTGTATAATGATAATACGAATAGCTTACATTTATGTATAAGAATTGCAAATAAGCATTACCTCCACCATCTCATCAATAATAAAAAGAACCCTGGATTTGAATCCTAGATATAATACTTACTAGCTATGTAACCACAGGCAAGTCCCTTCACCTCTTTGACCCTGTTGCTTCACCTATAAAATCAAGCTCAATAAAAAGAACACTGCCTACCTCAAAGAGTTGTAGTAAGGAGATGGCTTGGTAAACCTGAAAGTACTATAGAAATATGAATTGTCACTGTAATATTCTATAGTTCTACAAGCATCAAGAATCTAGCATCCTCCATGCAGCCAACAACATTTCTAAATATGACTTCCATGTCAGTTGGGTATTTGGAAAATGTTTTATTATCAATTATTAGTTTTACTCTCTCACTAAGAATTTTAAACTTCATATAAATTAACCAAAATTGTCATGTTAATGGCCAATGGTATGTACTTTTTTCTACATTACTTCAGAACCAATATAGAATTGGGGCCAAGGTAGCTTATTCCAACTTTTGAAATTGCCAGTTCAGTTAGTTTTAACAAATTTTTTTTTTTTTGCTAAAATCCAGCATACATGTAACAATTCAACTCTTCAAACATTTGTGAAGCACTTATCATGTGCAAAGCACTGTGCTAGGTGCTCATAATGCACACATGACACAAAACAGGCTTTGCCCTCAATGAACTTATGAAGTAACTGGAAATATTAGATATATGCAAAATAACTAAGGATAAGTTCAGTGCCCAAGAGAGAGACAAACATAGTGGTATACAGAGAAATCCAAACTAAGAGTAAAATATAATTACGATGGACAAAGAAACAGTTTCATTGCAAAGTCTCTGAAACGAACGTGAAGCTAAAGAAAACTGAACCTTTTGTCACTGACCTGAGGGAAGATGGTGAAAAGGAAAGAATGCTGGATCTACAAAGGGGACAGAACCCAGGTCTACCACTTACTATTATGTGACCTTAGGAAAATCACTTAAACTCCCTGGGCTTCAGTTTTCTCATCACAAAATGAGGGGGTTGGAGTGAAATTACTTCTGAGGCTCCTCTTCCTGTTCCAAATCTATAATCTATGATCCTGACTTGAGCTGTGGTCATTTCTGCTACCCAAGTCCAGGGCAAGGCACTGCTAACTAGAGGCAGTAGGCTGGATTATTCCGAGTCTGGTTAGCTCTAGAGGAGAGTCAGAGTAATCAAGAAGCAGCAGAGGAATTCTGGATGGCCTGTGCTCATCTCTATTGGGCTTGTCAGCCTACTGGGGCTATTAATAGCTTAGTCCCTGACTTAACTCCTGGCAGGGAGCCAGTATTAAGACAGCCAGGAAAGAAGTCATCAAAAGTGGGTGCTCTGTGGAAGGTCAAAGTATGTGGGGTGGGGGGAGGAGCATTCTTACAAAGTAAGTTATGTTCCAAGTTTAAAACTAAGAGAACAGGACTTTTTCATCGTTTTTTAGGGTTGCAAAGGACCTCAGAGATCATTTAGTCTCAATCTTTCATTTTACAGATGGAGAAAGCAAGGGCTAAAGATATTAAGTGACTTGCCCAAGGTTATATAGGATGAAGCAGCAGAGGCAAAATTTAAGTCCAAGCCGTCTAACACAAACTCAGTGCTCTGGAAGCTTCTGAAGGTATGCATGCTACAATCGCCAAAGACTTGCTAAAGACACCATATTAAATGACAATTTTCAAAGTCACTGGCAGACTCCTTTATCTATTCTATCCTATCCTTCCATAGGAGGCAGTTCCACCAGAAAAAACCACAGGACTTCAGAGATGGAAGGGATCTTAGAAACAAACTAGTACACTTCCCTCATCCCCCACCCCCCACCCCCACCTCCATTTTACTGATGAGGAAACCAGGGCCCAGAGAAGTTAAGTGATTTACCTAAGGTCCTTCAGGTAAAGTGTCAGAGGTGAGACTTGAACCAGGGTCTTCCTAACTCCAAATCCAGCACTCTAATCCACTATACCATACTATTGCTTGAAACAAAGATGCTCATTTTCACTGCATTTGTGATCCATGTTTAATATAGAAATATATTTTAAGAGCCAAAAGGCTAGTCAGCTCTCTGATTTAAAGTTTCTTCAGGGTTTCTTTCATTTCAAACTATACTGTTTTATTCATTCTTTGGGGATTTTTTTAAAAACAGCCCCAAAACATACAACAAAAAATTTTCAATGCAAACAAACTGTTAAAAGAACACATCAACAACATACTAACCTGATTTGACTGTCCTGAAAGGTAGGGTTCAAAGTCACTGTCATGCACTGTATCCTTCTGATGCAACGAACCATTTTGTACTAGAGTAAGAAGTTGCAAAATATTATACTTTAAAAGTTCATCAACAATTACTTTAATACATGCAAACTAAAAAAGGTCAAGTTCCCTTTCCCATCAATTTCTATGAAAAATTATATGGTTTCCAATATGTAAAAACAGAAATAACCATTAATAGTACTGTAAATAACAGTACAGAACTTTCAATAACCTTAGATACTGTATTTTTATAAATTTTGGGGAGAAGTCTAGAAATAAACATATAGGATATATATAAATGATCAAGAATGTGGTCCAGCTATATTGGTCTACTTTCAGTACCTCATACACTAAGCTCCATTTCCTATCTCCGAGACTTTCTACTAACTGTTCCCTATCCCTGGAATGCTCTTCTGAATCTCCACTTCTTAGAATCCTTGGCTTCTTTCAAGCCTCCACCCAAAAATCACCTCCTGCAGAAGGCCTTTTCCAGATTAATCCACTCCCACCTCAAGATGGCACATAATATTTAATTAATAAATGCACACACATGCTCACATAGACTACCTCCTAATAAATAAAATCTAAGCTCAATTTGTGGTAAATAGGACTCAAATTCCACCCCAAACTAGGGACACCAAAGCAAATTTATTTCAAGAAAACACACAAAACCTGTAATGCATATCTAGCTGAGACAAATGACTACAATTACATGACAAAAAAATTCTGGAAGTCACATAATTGAGTTCCAACCCCATTTATGACTGTGACCTGGAAAAATGAATATACAATGCAATTAAGGACATCAGCACAATATAACAAAGTAAAAACAGTCTTCTGCAAAAACAAGAAGACTTCTGATTATTTGTTTTATAACTTTTAAAAAACAAAATTTCAACTACTCTAAATGATGTGAGACCATAAAAGAGAATTAAGCTTCCTTCCTAGAGAAGCACATGTTAAATCAGTGCAGTGACTCTTCAGATGACAATTTTAAAGAAAGTATCTTAGAACTAGGTAATTAAGACCTGGAATATTTATTTAAAACCATTCGATTCTGTGATGATTCAGCCTGGCAACTCCCTCACACTTCTTATCATAAAAGAAGAATATAGGGAAAAGCACAGAATCAGAGAAATTTAAACCTTTACTAATGAGGCAAATGAGGCCTAATCTAATGACTTGCCCAAGGTCACACAGTGAAAAAGCTGTGATGAAAAGCCACCTCCTTGTGACTTTCAGGCTTGTGCTTTCCTGTATACCAGAAAGCCTTTCATGGGATTATGTTTAAAAATTTATTTTCTTCAACAAGTTAACAATGTTATCCTGCATGTAACCCAAAGCATCTCTCAAAAATCTAAAGAAAAAAAAAAGACTTCAGTTTCTTTGGTAGCTCACTAAGTGGTTTCCATATGGTCTTTACTGCAAACATGAATCATTTTCAAAGAAAGAACTCCTCCTTCGTCATATACTATTATAAAATCCAATGTAAATTCCCAGAACTTTCCTTACCTTTATTATCTTGTCCTTTTGTTCTCTATAATGCCATAGCCGAGGAGACCAAACACAGAAAAAGCCCAAGAAAAGAGAAAAAAAGTTACTCGTGGAGGGATCCATTTAAGTCCAGGAAGGTAAGTTTAAAGGAAAAACACCAAAGTTTTAAGTGTCTCGTTTAAGAGAATGTTTTTGTTCTGTTTAACAATGGAAAGTACTGTATTCACTCCTCGTCGCAATCATTAATCCAAACCTGTGTTTAGTTTACATGCGGTGTGGGGAAATTTCTCTAACCTTCCAGGTCAGAGACATAGTTTCTTTTCTTCCTCCTCCCCCCCCCACCCCTTTAAAGCTTCTCCATAACTGGAGAGACTGGGAATTATCGAAGGCGGGGAGAAAAGGAATGGCAGGAAGATCTCAGAAAAGCGGTCCAGACTGGGGGAAGGGGGGGGGGCGGGGGGGGGTGATGAATGAGCAGCGGAAAGGAGGGGGAAACAGGCCACAGTTCTCCCTCCCCCTCCCCGATACGCACTCCGGGGCGGGAACCCCCGAGGTAACCCCAGCCTCCCCCCCCCACACCAGAGGCTTACCTGAGGGTCTACGCTGGTGGCCGACATAATTCATGAACCAGGCCCAGGGGGTGGGAGGGGGAGGGGGGTGGGAGGGGGAGGGGGAGAAGGGAGGCGTCGGGCTGGCCCGGGAGGCGGGGGTGCCGAGGGTCGGGTCGGGTCGGGCCGGGTCCCACGCGGAGTGGCTGAGGGCGGCGCGGCGCCGAGGACCTGCGCCCGCCGGGGCTGCGGGGGTGGCGCCGGGGCTCGGTCTCCGGCCGGGGTGGGGTGGGGGGCCCTGTCACTTCCCGCTCCTCACCGCCCGCCTGCCCACCGACCCCCCACCCTCTCCCACCCTCCCACCCACCCTCCGCCCGGGCAGCTTCTCCCTCGTGGCGGCAGGCTCCCGAAGCTGGGGCAAAACAGCAGCGGAGGACGAGGAAAAGGAAAGGCTAAGGAGGCAGCGACCCGAGACTCAAGATGGGAATGGACTGAGGAAACGCCGACTCCAATGGCGGCAGCGGCGGCGGAGACGAAGCTGTGCGGACGTCAACGCCTGCGCGGGGCAGGCCGGGAAACCATCCGGCCCGGCCGGGAAGGAGGTGGGGGGAAGGAAAGGAGGATGGGAAAAAACCGACTGGCTGCCCGCTACGTGCCGCGCGCCTGCGCGCTGCCGCCTCGACGGGACTTCACTCACGGCTTGGTAGGTTTTCCTCGCGCTTGGCATGGGAAGAGGTAGAGGGAGGGAAACCAGGAAGTCACATGGGGGTGTATTTGGAGCTGTTGCTACCAGGGTGAGGTCAGCAGGGGGTAGGATGCTGGGCTTCTGTGCCAGATGTGTGTCTGCCGTCCAGAATGCGCCGAACTCAGCCCACAGTGCAACGGGAGGACCCCAGTCCGCTCTGAAGATTGTTCTGAGTCCATTCATGGACTCTTGAGAAGTAGGTTCTGCAGGATCTCATAAGCCCACTAGATAATTTTGCAAGATGGAGAGACTGAGACCCAGACAGAGTGACTTGATCGAGCTCATACAACTAGTTAATGACACACCTGGGACTAAGACCAAGGTCTCTCTGTTTCCAGTCTCCTATTCATTCTCTCAGTTATTGTTGTTTTTGGTGATGGTCTTGGGTGATCGTGAATTGGATTTAAGTGAAGCAGAATTGCACAAAGTCGTCAACCTCACTCCCTCATCCAGTCATGTAAGTCCAGTGGCGAAACAAGAGTCAAGATGACTGGAGATGGCCCGGGATGCAGTGGATGACTGCTGTCTTCAGTGTGTGATCAAGCCCTAAGCACTCCACAGGGAGCCATCTCCAGCCCTCCTGATCTATATCTTGTCACTGGACCCAGATGGCTCTGGAGGAGAAAGTGAGGCTTGTGACTTTGCACAGCCCTCCCTCACCTAAATCTAATTCGCTTGCAAGGCATGGCATCACCTTCCTGATGTAATGGTCATTTTCCAGAATGAAGGACAAACAACAAGCACTCCACAGCACCTGCTTCAGCCCCCTTCATGAAGGCAGTTGGAATAAATTGTTTTCATCTGCCTATTCTGATGGGGGAGTCTTCATGTGCTTGGGTTTGAGGCCTGTTGGTTACCTTCAACCTGGTTTTAGCTCGTCTGCCTAGAGGATATTTTGAGGGTGTGGCCTTTGAGCATTCTACAGCCTCCTGGAGCTACAGGTGAGAGCTAGGTGACAGGTGGATGGGGTGGGGGGGACCAGCCATTTTCAGGGCTGCTCATCCACCATTGGTAGCACCTGTCACCCAGCTCTCACCTGTGGCTCCAAGAAGCTGCAATGTGCTTGGTGGCCACACCTCTGTAAGACTCTAAATTTAATTCTCTTTCTTTTTTTAAATTTTTTTTATTTTATACTTTTTTCTTTATTACCCTATATCCTGTATTTCTTATTTCCCAGTTGCATGTGAAAACAATTTTTTTTAATTTATGTTTTTAAAACTTTGGGTTACAAATTTTCTCCCTTTTTCCCTCTTCACTCACCCTCATTGAAAAGGCAAGCAACAAAAATATGGAACGCTTCACGAATTTGCATATCATCCTTGCACAGGAGCCATGCTAATCTTCTCTGTATCATTCCAATTTTAGGAGATGTACTGCTGAATCGAGCACAATTTAATTCTCTTTCAACTACATTATGTTGCCTTTCTAAGTGATCTGCTGTAAAGGTAGGAAGCATTTATTAAGTGCCTACTGTGTGCCAGGCACTGTGCTGACTACTGGAGATGCAAAGAGAGGCAAAAGAATTCGTGCCCTCAAGGCACAATCTAATGAGGGAGACAATAGGCAAATATTGCCTATTATCTATCTACAGGATAGATAGGAAATAGTTAACAGGGAGAAGGCTCTGAAAATTAAGAGGGGTTGTAAAAGGCTTCCAGTAGGAGATGGGATTTTAGTTGGGACTTCAAAGAAGCCAAGGAGTTCAGTCGTTGGAGTATTGAATAGAGAGCATTCTAGGCATGGGGGACAGTCTAAGAGAACAGCCAGGAGATGGAGCATCTTGTTCGTGGAATAGCCAGGCAGCCAGTGTCACTGGATCAAAGATTAGGTGTTGGAGAGTAAGGTATAAGAAGACTGGAAGGGTATGAAGGGTTAGGTTGTGAAGGGCTTTGAATGCGGAACACATACTTTCTGTAGTTTTTCTATAGATTTCTATAGATTTAAAGTTTACAAAGTACTTTAATTGCAGCAACTCAGGTAGATAGTGCAAGTATTACTGCACCTATTTTACTGAGGTTAAACAATGTCCATAATAGCCTAATTTTAAGAGGCTAAGTGACACCTGTAATTTCCACTCCATCTATTGTGATGATGGCGCTAAGGGCAAGGATGGATTTTTTTGTTTCAGGGATCCAGCTTGGCCTCTGAGGGAGTCCTGGCCCTCCTACAAGGTTTAGGGAGAAAATTCTAGGAATGGGCTTCATTCATTGTACCTTTGGGCAACTTAAGCAGCAACCCTGAGTGGCTGCTTGCTGATTGTGCTTTGTAGTAAAATTGTGGTTTCCCACTTCCAGAGCCTAATACTGAAAAGCTTGTAGTACAAGCTGATCCAAACTGAGGGACTAAAAAGAATTGGAGAGTTTGAATTTTCCACATAGGATTGGGTGCCTCAGAATTGGGACTGAACCAAACTTTATCCGTCATTTTTTCTTAAAAGAAAAGTCTGTCGTCTCCACAGTAACACTCTGAGTTAGAACACTGGTATAGAGTCATTTGGGGGCCATGGAAAACTGAGGGAGGGGCTAAGCCTCTGCTGCCTCAGCATGTGATGAAGTGAAAAAAGCAGAGAACACAGAATCACAAGACCTGGATTCTCTCTGTCCTTGGACAACCTTGGACAAATAACTTCCCTGAGCCTCAGTTTCTTCATCTGTAAAGTGAGGATAATACTTGCCTTGCCTACCTCATAGACCTGTTGTGAAAATGAAGTAAAAAAAATACTTCATAAAGTATTGGACTTTAAACTCTATTAGGGCAGGAACCATGTTATTTGAACTTTTATTTCTACTACTCACCCCAGCACCAAGCATAGTGTTCTGCTTAACAAATGTCTGTAGTTATCATAAAGCATTTAGCCTAAGAAAGAGACAATTTAGGAGAAAGAATTATTTGAAGGGCTGTGGTATATGCTGTAGACTACTGCCTCATGGAACAGAAATGATGGTTAGAAGTTGCAAAGAGATAGATTCTAGAAACATGGAAGTAAAAATTTCCTGATGGATAGAACTTTCTGCAGGTGGAATGGGCTGCCTTATAAACGGGTGAACTTTTTGTCCCTGGAAGTCTCCAAGGAGAGTCTGGGTAGTCATTGGTTGGGTTTGTGGTCCAAACAAGGACAACTTAGGTACAAGTTGGGCAAGGAGACCTTTAAAGTCTTAGCCAACGCTAGGATTCTATGAAAGTATCAGGTCATTTTCCCTTTCTCAAAGAGTTCAGCACCTGGCTTACAGTCTTCCCAGTCTCCCAACTGGGATGTGGAGAACCTACCCTTTGACCACAAGCCTTCTATCTCCTGTTGTGCCTGTCCTTTGAGGGAAGAGGAAAAAGAAGAGGAAAGTTGTTGGGGAACAGGACTTCTTTCTCCTGCTATGCAGATTCAATTTCCATCTCCTCCTGTACCCTTTTCGTGCCTAATTGCTACCCTCTCCTGGCTCTCCTCTTACCTGTCTGACTCTCCTCAGTCTCCTTTGCTGGACCCTCATCAATATCACACCCTCTGTCTAAAGATGTCCCTCGGGGTTCTGTCCTGGACCATGTTTTCTCTATAGTACTCACTTGGTAGTCTTATCAGTTCCCATAGATTTAATTACCATTTCTATGCAGCTGACTCTCAAATCTACCTTTCCTGCCCCAACCTCTCTGCTGGTCTACAATCTCCTACTTCTCTACCTGCCTTTCAGACATCTCAAACTAGATGTCCAGTAAACATCTTAAACTCAGTATATCCAAAACAGAACTCATTATCTTTCCTCCTAAGCCCTCTGCCTCCTACTTTCCCTATTAGTGTAGAGAGCAACACCATCCTCCCGGTTCCTCAGATCAAAACCTAGAAGTCATCCTAGGTTCCTTATATCTCTTACCCCCACCCCCATATACAAGCTGTGGCTAAGGCCTGTAGATTTCACCTTTGGAACATCTCTGAAATAAGTCCCCTTTTCTCCTCTGACACTTCCACCATTCTGGTACAGGCACTCATCACCTAACACCTGGACCATTGCAGTAATCAGCTGATGGGTCTGCCTGCCTTAAACCTGTCCTCAAGCTAATCCATCCTCCATTCAGCCACCAAAATGATTTTCCTAAAGAACAGGTCCAACCATCACACACACACACACACACACACACACACTCAAGAAACTTCAGTGGCTCCCTGTCACCTCCAGAATCAAATATAAAATCCTCTGCTCAGTATTCAAAGCCCTTAATAACTTAGCTTCCTCCTACCGTTCCAATCTTCTTACACCTTATTATCTGCCATACACTCTTCAATCTAATAACACTGAGCTGTTCCACAAACAAGATATTCCATTCTGGGCATTTTCTCTGTTCCCCATGCCTGGAATGTTCTCCCGCTTCAGTTCTCCCTA